TTGTTGTTTTTGTTGTTGTTGTTGTTGTTGTTGTTGTTGTTGTTGTTGTTGTTGTTGTTGTTGTTGTTGTTGTTGTTGTTGTTGTTGTTGTTGTTGTTGTTGTTGTTGTTTTGTTGTTGTTGTTGTTGTTGTTGTTGTTGTTGTTGTTGTTGTTGTTGTTGTTGTTGTTGTTGTTTTGTTTTTTTTGATATTGGCGGTGCTAGCCTGGATAGCAACTTTTAGACGCCCGAAATGGGCACGGAAAGAACGGGTACAGTGCCCAACAACAAAGGTTGTCCCAAACCAACGGCGGCCGCTGTTGGGCAGGCGGCCCTTCTGTCTCGAATGGACACTGGCCGCGGCGGCGTGGACAGCGAGTCCTGTTCAAAATGAACAGGAACTGCTGTTGGGCATCGTACCCACTCTTTCCGTACCCATTTCGGGCGTCCGGATGACTGGCTGTATTCCTCAGTCCCAGTGGCCGCGTGCGCCCGGCACCCCCCTGGGGCAGGAAGGCGCCCGCGAGCCAGCCGCGCAGGCCAGTGGCGTGTGAAGGGGCCCCGGGACACACCAATAGATAGACACAGACACAAGGATTCGCCATATTTCCCATATATCTCTTCTGGGCTTTTGCCTTCCCCCCCCACACTTCCCATATTTTCTGGTGATGTCTTGGGAATCGACGATGGATCGTGTCTGTGTGGTTTTTCCCCTCCTGAGCATGGCGCTGCCCCCGCGCGCCCCGTGCAGGCCGTCGAGGCGGAGGACCACCGACGGCCCACGCCCCCGCTTCCCTGGGCGCTGCAGAGCAGGCCGCCTGGCCCTGGTGCCGCCCTGGTGCTGCCCCCTCCCCCCCCTCCTCCTCCTCCTCCTCCTCCTCCTCCTCCTCCTCCTCCTCCTCCTCCTCCTCCTCCTCCTCCTCCTCCGCCGCCCACCACGTGGGCCGTCGAGGACCACCGGCGGCCCACGCCCCGCTTCCCTGGGCGCTGCAGAGCAGGCCGCTCGGCCCTGGTGCCGCCCTGGTGCTGCCCCCGCGCATCCGGTGCAGGCCGTCGAGGAGGACCGACGGCCCACGTCCCACATTGAAGGGGAACTGGGACACACAAATAGATACACACAAATAAAATGTCCCCCTTATTTTCCCATCTTTTCGGGGTTTCTGTCTTCCCCGCCACTTCCCATATTTTTTCCCATATCTTCCTGGGAGTCGACGACTAATTGTGTCTGTGTGGTTTTTCCCCTCTTGAAAGTTGTACCGTCGGGCTGCTGAAATAAGGGACGCTAAATAAGGCACGAAGCCCCGCTGTGGCTTCAAAAGAGCCTGGGTGCACGAGAGGGGCTAGAGGAACAGCCGCGGAAGGACGTCAGGAACACCGAGCCCCCCTTCCGAATCCAAACTGTTCCTTATTTCAGCGTCTTGGCTGTAGAGCAGGCCGCCTGGCCCTGGTGCCGAAACCTAGACCTTGCTAAGGAACTCCTGGATCGGGCGGCGCGTCGGCGGCTGCACATCCGGGAAAGACATGTCCGCGGCGCACTGGGCGATGTGTGTCCACTCCCCCCCCTGGGGCGCGCCGCTCGAACGCTGAAATGCTGGCGCCCAGTGCCGCGCCAGCGCAGCTGCTTTGTCCGCAGGTGCTTCCGCGGCGCTGCACTCATCGACAAGGGCCCGGACGACGCGCGTGTGCCCTCGGGGATCCCGCAGCTTGGACCGCCAGGCTGCGCGGCGGTGGTTGGCCTGCACGCGGCGAACACCCCCTGGGCGAGCTGCTTCCTGATCCTGCCGCAGCGGCTCCGCGAGTGCAGCGGGCGCGGCCCGATGGTGCTCATCGAATGCGTCGTGCAACGGCGTGGGGTCTGGAATGCAAGCGGCGCAGCCGCGCACCCGTGCCAGCTGCGCAGTCCGTGGGCGCCTGAGGATGGCAGCGTTCGCCAGCGAAACATCCTGGCGCCACGCGGCGCGAGCCAGTATCCGCAGGGTCATGGCCATCTGCGGTGGTTCGGCCCCCCCCGCGTGGCCAGCTCGCCATTGCGCGTGGCTCGCGCGGCAGCGTGCCTGCAACGCATGGCAATCCTCCCCTGCGCGGGAGCCAGCAGCTCGTCGAGCTTCTCTCCCCCCCCAGTAGGGCCTTTACGAGCTGAGCGAACAGAGGGTCGGCAACGATGTGCTGAAGTATCGGCTTCTGCACTCGTGTGTCCTGCCTGCCCCGCTCGGTCCCCGTGAGGCTGATGGGGACCGTGGTCGCTCGTGCCTTGCCGGACGAGCTCCTCCGGCTCTGGCCACACCGTCATGGCCTGCCGTCCCCGCAGGAGCAGCCACTGAGGTCTCGAGACGGAGACTCTGTCGATCTTGATGGCCTATTGCGACGGCGCGTGCCAGGACGTCGGCCGCTCACGCTCCACCTCAAGAAGGTGTCGCCGCATCCGCCGCCAGCTCGCCTCCCCAGGGCGGTATGCGCGCTGGCGACCCTGCAACTCCGGGGTGGCCACCACGGACGTCTATTCCCCCTGCTCGTCGCTTGTGTTGAAGTCGCCGGCGAACACCGCCATCATGCCCATGGGAGCCGCCTGCGCAGCTCGAACCTGTGCTAAAGTAATCTTCGAGACGGCCCGGAATTGGGCCCTCGAAGTGTTCACGTTGTTGATGTTCCAGTGCTTGGAATCCAGGGCGCCGTTTCCTGATCGTCACCTGCATATCTGCCTTTCGCACTCCACGAGCGTTCCTCCGTCTGACGAAGCGCCCGACCGCCGCGGCCGCGACGGGGCGCACCCGAGAGCGCGCGAACGAGCGGAAAACGAGCGAGAGCAGGCGGCGGCAGCCAAGCTGGCGGCGAAGCCAGCAGCGGGCAGGCGGCAGCCAGCAGAACGGAAGAGAAGACACGCACACGCACGCGCACACGCACACGCACACGCACACACACACACACGCACACGCACACGCACACGCACACGCACACGCACACGCACACGCGTACGCAAACGCACACGCACGCGCACACGCACACGCACACGCACACGCACACGCACGCGCACACGCACGCGCACGCGCACACACACACGCACACGCACACGCACACGCACACGCACACGCACACGCACACGCGTACGCAAACGCACACGCACGCGCACACGCACACGCACACGCACACGCACACGCACGCGCACACGCACGCGCACGCGCACACACACACGCACACGCACACGCACACGCACACGCACACGCACACGCAAACGCACGCGCACACGCACACGCACACGCACACGCACACGCACACGCATACGCAAACGCACACGCACGCGCGCACGCACTCACGCACACACGCACACGCACACACGCACACACGCACACGCACACGCACACGCGCACACGCACACGCACGCGCACACGCACACGAACACACACACACACGAACGCACGCACGCACGTACATACACAGCACACACACAGCACACACACAATACACAACACACACAACACACAACACACAACACACACCACACACAAGACACATAACACACAACACACATAGTATATAGCACATCGCACAAACAACACACACAACACACACACAACACACATTACACACAACACACAGCACACACACAACACACAACACATAACACACACACACCACACACACAACACACAAAACACAACACACAACGCACGCACGCACACACGCACGCACCCACACATACACGCACACACACACACACACACACACACACACACTCACACCACACACCACACACACATTCTCGTGGTCGATTCCAGAAACCCTGAAGCCAAACATGCTGTCATCTCCTGGGAGGTCGACTTTTGCTTCCGCGGGCTCCCGCCGGCCTTCCGCTGGCTTCCGCTGGCGGGGGCGGCCTCGCTTCACTTCCGCCGACCTTCCGCCGCCCTCCTGGCGGGGAAGCGGTGCCAGCTCCCTCGAGCCCCGAAGGCGAGGCCCCTTCTTGAGCGCCCCGCACACAGGCTTGTGGATGCCACGACAATGGACACCATAACAGTCCTATCCTTGAATTTAAAGATGTTTAAACTGTAGGAACATGTCCTAAACTGTTTTGGGACTTGTTTTTACATGTTCAGAACATGTTTGACACATGTTGTAGACATCTGGAAACCATTTGGCAGCACGCTTCCTCTGCATAAATCGACTTCCACGAACTTCGGCCTCGTCCCCGTCGGGGCCCTCCCAGGAACGTCGTGCGTGCACCGCAGGGCCGTGAGCCCCTCCGCCCAGGGCACGGCCGTGGGCGAGCGGCGCCCTGCCGCGGTGCCGCCCGCCCGCGGAGCGAGCTCGCCGAGGGCGCTGAGATCGGCGTGCGTCCCCGGCGCCCCACGGATGCAGTCGGACCTGGGACGGAAGAGCACCCCTCGGCTACTTTTGATCTGCAGGGCGAGAGCGACCCTCTCCCGCTGAAAGCTAAGCGGGACGCGCATAGCTTTAATTAGCAGAGAAAGGGCGGAAGAAGGCGGGGCCTCACGCGGCCGGGAGAGGGCGAAGCCCAGGGATCAGGCGGCGCCGAAGTGGACGTGCACCCCTCGGCTACACGCAAGGAGTGGCCTTTGGTGCGCAGCTTCTGGAGGGCGCGAGGGGGCCAAACCCAAGCGCAAAGGCCGCTGCTATCGCATCACGATCAGTCATGCGGGGACCCCAGTGTGCCCGCACCAAAGCTCACTCCAACGATTGGTCATTCTTACGTCTAATCGAATCCCTCAGAAACTTGAGGCCCCCCGCCGGCCCAAGCTGCAGAACCTTCGAAGGCGCTCTCCCCTGGGTTGCACCAGAGCATCCGGCAAGCACGAGGAACACTGGGGTACCCTCCCCGAACCGACCTCGATCTTATACCTCGGTCCGACCGTAGAAGGAGGGCCTCAGATAATGTCAGACACGATGTTGCCCTTGGTGTGAAGGTTCTCTACCTGGCAGTGTGCCGGTGCCCTGGCGTTCCAGGGGGTCACTCGTACAGACGCGGCCTCCAACAGCGTGTTACCCAGACCTCTCAGTGACCCGCACGCCCAGCGCCTGTTCCGCGAGCGTGTCCATCTCGCTTCGGGACGTGCCCCTGTCTGCTAATAGCCCCAGGTTCCAGACGACGCGCGGCGGGTCCACTGGATGCACGATGACCTTTGCAAGCCGCTCCCGCCCCATGGATGACACGCACGCCTCTTTGTCCAGAAAGACACGGTTGTAGAAGCGCGTCTCGAGGATCTTCTTGATACGCTTGCCAACCATTTGCCAAGCGAAGTCCTCCAGATGTTTGCCGATACCCGCGTAGAGAGGTGTCGTACGACGGTGGATTGCCGCCAGCCATCCTCCGGCAGCCGGAGGGCGCCCAGCGCTTGTACCACCTTCTTCTCCGCGGCGTGCACCGCGTCCTGGAACCCGCGCTTGAACATGCGGCCCAGCGCCTCGCCTTCCAGGATGATGCCCTCATCCAGCTTGAGGTCGGCGGCGTCCATCCATTCCTTGAGGGCGCCGGCGACCGCGTCACGCCCAACGTGAGCGTCGTGCCCACAGACCGGGACCAGCCCGCAGCCTGCTTGATAGATGGGCGCGGTAATCTCCGCGCGAGTCTCAATTCCCGCTCCAGCACCCGCGTGCGGTCTTCCAGCGCCTTGTTGGTCCGTTGGTAGGAGGAGGAGGAGGAGGAGGAGGAGGAGGAGGAGGAGGAGGAGGAGGGAGGAGGAGGAGGAGGAGGAGGGGGAAGATGGCGGGATCAGATCAGGATGGCAAGGAGGATGGGGAGGGCGAAAGGAGCATGGTGGTGACAGCGGGGAGGGAAGACCAAGGACGAGGGAAGATGGATGAGAAAATTTAAATGGCCTCCTCCTCCTCCTCCTCCTCCTCCTTCTCCTCCTCAAGGGAAGGACGGGGAGGGGAGGGGGGGAGCACTGCTCCGGTCGCTCGCTTCCCTTGCCGCCAGGCTGCGCGGCGCGGCCGCCCCCGAAGCTCGCGGCGGCGCCCTGGCTGCTTGAGCGAGGGAGAGGGCGAAGTAGGGAGGACAAGGACTCGCCATCGCTCCGACGTCCATTCCCTGTGCTTTTCTCGGTTTCGTGCGTGGTTTTTCGCCGAATGATCTAGGATGCTCCTCGATGGTCCTCGCCGAAGGAAAAATGCACACGTCCGAGCGCTGCCAGGAGGGAGGAGGGGCGAGGGTAAGAGGAGGAAGGGCGATGTACGATGGCAGTGATAATTGTGATGAAGATTGTGTCTTTGCACGGCGATGACGATGACGATGAGGACGATGACGACGATGATAATGCTAATGATAACGATGGCGAGGGCCGCGACGACGGCGATGATGATGGTGATAACGATGGTGATGATTATGGTGATGCTGATTACGATGATTGTGATGATGGTGATTATGACGATGAACATGATGACCATGATGACGATGATGGTGCTGACGATGACAACGATTGCGACGATACGTACGATGAGCATGATAACCATGATGATGAGGATGATTATGGGTTTGGTGATGGTGGTGATGATGGAATCAACATGATAATGATGATGATGATGATGCTGATGATGATGATGATGATGATGATGATGACGAAGAGGATGACGACGATGATGATGACCGTGGTGATGATGATGAGGATGCTGCTGATGATGATAATGACGATGACCATGTTGATGCTGCTGCTGATGATGACGATGCTGCTGATGATGATGCTGCTGCTGATGGTGGTGATGAACTGATAATGCTGATGCTGTTGTTGATGACGATAATGATGGTGCTGCTGCTGATGATGATGACGATGGTGATGATGCTGACGACGACGATGACGATGACGATATCGATGATGATGATGCTGATGATGATGATGATGCTGATGATGATGATCATAATGATAATGATGATGATGCTGCTGATGATGATGATGATGATTATTATTATTATTAATATTATTATTATTATTATTATTATTATTATTCTGATTATCATTATTCCCCACATGCTTCGTGGGGTTCTGGTTTTCTTCCCTGCCGCGCCGCACCCGCGTCTCACCTCGACCCCCATTGGTGACCACCTCGCATCTGTCCTCGATGGAGGATAGAAGGCTGGGAAGAGGGAGGAGGGTCAAGCAATTTGGCGTTGGATGGCCCATAGGGAACATTCGCGACGAGGGCTCAGAACGCAGGATTGTGCATACATATTATATACATAAGCAAACGCATAAGATTTAAATCCGCCGGCCCCCTTGTGGGGCCACCAGGCTGTAGGCGCGGGTTCGCAGTTTCCTGTACCAGTTGTAGCTTGTAGTTTCCAGTGTTACAGTTCTGCTTCTTGCTGGTTACTGTAACTAGTTGACTTCTTGCTGGTTACTGTAACTAGTTGATTGACCGCGCGAGGGGGCGGGAGGCCCAAACAAGACTTTTAGCGTCCCCTGGGCGCGTTGTCTGAATTGCTGGGGGGGCTCGAAATCGACACCCCTCACGCAGAGCTGCGGGGTCAGGGTCCAAAAACACAAGAGATTTGCCACATTTCTGAAAGTCGGTGCCACCCCTCACGCAGATCCGCGGGGTCAGGGTCCAAAAACACATGGGATTTGCCACATTTCTGAAATTCGGTGCCACCCCTCACGCAGATCCGCGGGGTCAGGGTCCAAAAACACATGGGATTTGCCACATTTCTGAAATTCGGTGCCACCCCTCACGCAGATCCGCGGGGTCAGGGTCCAAAAACACATGGGATTTGCCACATTTCTGAAATTCGGTGCCACCCCTCACGCAGATCCGCGGGGTCAGGGTCCAAAAACACATGGGATTTGCCACATTTCTGAAATTCGGTGCCACCCCTCACGCAGATCCGCGGGGTCAGGGTCCAAAAACACATGGGATTTGCCACATTTCTGAAATTCGGTGCCACCCCTCACGCAGATCCGCGGGGTCAGGGTCCAAAAACACAGGGGATTTGCCACATTTCTGAAATTCGGTGCCACCCCTCACGCAGATCCGCGGGGTCAGGGTCCAAAAACACATGGGATTTGCCACATTTCTGAAATTCGGTGCCACCCCTCACGCACATCCATCGCAAGGCGTGGTAACCCAAACTGCGAGTACTCCCTCGGCCCTTTAATCCCAAGGTGTGGTAACCAAGCTCGTAAACCATACACGTCTTACCAATCGCCCTGTGTGGTAACCCCTCTTGTGATCAGTTGGTTTTGCCGATTGCGAATCGGCCTCGCATGAAGTTCCGATACTGCTGCACGACAGCGCCAAAGCCTCATAACTTAGCTCTTCCATGGCCCATTCTCCGAGAGAGGGGGCCGGCGGCAGGGGGCGAAGCCCTTACGGATTAAGTATGTGGGGTTCCTCGGTCGCGTAATTATTATTCCCCACATGCTTCGTGGGGTTCTGGTTTTCTTCCCTGCCGCGCCGCACCCGCGTCTCCTCACACCTCCCCTCCTCTCTCTTTCTTCCTCCCCTCACTCACACACACACACACTTCACTCTTCCCCCCCTCGTCACAGCACTGCTCAGCTCAGCTCAGCTCAGCTCAGCTCACCTCAGCACAGCACAGCACAGCTCAGCTCAGCACAGCACAGCTCGGCTCAGCACAGCTCAGCACAGCCCAGCACGGCTCAGCTCAGCACAGCACAGCTCGTGGCACTTTCTCGACACCACAGGGGGTGCGCAGGGGTTGGTCTCTCAGCTCGGCCGCTATCCACGACACTGGCGCAAAGCCTAGCAGGCGTGGCACTCTCTCGACACCAAAGGGGGTGGGCAGGGGGTGGTCTCTCAGCTCGGCCGCTACCCACGACACTGGCGCAAAGCCTAGCAGGCGTGGCACTTTCTCGACACCACAGGGGGTGCGCAGGGGGTGGTCTCTCACCGCGGTCCCTATCCACGACACTGGCGCAAAGCCTAGCAGGCGTGGCACTCTCTCGACACCAAAGGGGGTGGGCAGGGGGTGGTCTCTCAGCTCGGCCGCTATCCACGACACTGGCGCAAAGCCTAGCAGGCGTGGCACTTTCTCGACACCACAGGGGGTGCGCAGGGGGTGGTCTCTCACCGCGGTCCCTATCCACGACACTGGCGCAAAGCCTAGCAGGCGTGGCACTTTCTCGACACCAAAGGGGGTGGGCAGGGGGTGGTCTCTCAGCTCGGCCGCTATCCACGACACTGGCGCAAAGCCTAGCAGGCGTGGCACTTTCTCGACACCACAGGGGGTGCGCAGGGGGTGGTCTCTCAGCTCGGCCGCTATCCACGACACTGGCGCAAAGCCTAGCAGGCGTGGCACTTTCTCGACACCACAGGGGGTGGGCAGGGGGTGGTCTCTCAGCTCGGCCGCTATCCACGACACTGGCGCAAAGCCTAGCAGGCGTGGCGTGGCACTCCACGACACAAAGCCTCGTGCACACCACAGGGGGTGCGCAGGGGGTGGTCTCTCAGCTCGGCCGCTATCCACGACACTGGCGCAAAGCCTAGCAGGCGTGGCACTTTCTCGACACCACAGGGGGTGCGCAGGGGGTGGTCTCTCAGCTCGGCCGCTATCCACGACACTGGCGCAAAGCCTAGCAGCGTGGCACTTTCTCGACACCACAGGGGGTGCGCAGGGGGTGGTCTCTCAGCTCGGTCGCTATCCACGACACTGTCGCAAAGCCTAGTAGGCGTGGCACTTTCTCGACACCACAGGGGGTGCGCAGGGGGTGGTCTCTCAGCTCGGCCGCTATCCACGACACTGGCGCAAAGCCTAGCAGGCGTGGCACTTTCTCGACACCACAGGGGGTGCGCAGGGGGTGGTCTCTCAGCTCGGCCGCTATCCACGACACTGGCGCAAAGCCTAGCAGGCGTGGCACTTTCTCGACACCACAGGGGGTGCGCAGGGGGTGGTCTCTCACCGCGGTCCCTATCCACGACACTGGCGCAAAGCTAGCAGGCGTGGCACTTTCTCGACACCAAAGGGGGTGCGCAGGGGGTGGTCTCTCAGCTCGGCCGCTATCCACGACACTGGCGCAAAGCCTAGCAGGCGTGGCACTTTCTCGACACCACACGGGGTGCGCAGGGGGTGGTCTCTCAGCTCGGCCGCTATCCACGACACTGGCGCAAACCTAGCAAGCGTGGCACTTTCTCGACACCACAGGGGGTGCGCAGGGGGTGGTCTCTCAGCTCGGTCGCTATCCACGACACTGGCGCACAACCTAGCAGGCGTGGCACTTTCTCGACACCACAGGGGGTGCGCAGGGGGTGGTCTCTCAGCTCGGCCGCTATCCACGACACTGGCGCACAACCTAGCAGGCGTGGCACTTTCGCGACACCACAAGGGGTGCGCAGGGGGTGGTCTCTCGGCTCGGCCGCCATCCACGACACTGGCGCAAAACCTAGCAGGCGTGGCACTTTCTCGACACCAAAGGGGGTGGGCAGGGGGTGGTCTCTCAGCTCGGCCGCTATCCACGACACTGGCGCAAAGCTTTGCAGCCGTGGCACTTTCTCGACACCGCAGGGGGTCTCTAAGCGCGGCCGCCACCCACGAAACTGTCGCAAAGCTTAGCAGGCGTGGCACTCTCCCGGGACTATAGGGCCAGCGCAGGGGGTGATCTCTTGGTGCAATGATTATCCACCGCATTGCGCGTGAGAGCTTGCGTCTTACCCTGATCCGTAAACATCGCGGCTCAAGCCGGCGCGGCACGACTGCGCATTTACGCAAGTTTGTCTGTGCTCCAACTTGCGGGCAACAACCGCCAAGCCTACGCGCGGCAGCAATGCCGCCCAAAATTGACATTGGACAGCTGCCGCCTCCGTGCGTGAAGCTGAAGAACGCACTGACTGAAATGGGCGACGATGTAAGCCTGGAAGGCTTGCGTGGCTGCGAGGGGCCTCTGATAAGAAACGCATTCGATGCCTATCACCGTCAACTGAAGAATTGGTGGCCCGAGACGCTTTACATGAGGTGTAACGAGTCGCCGCATCCAGGTACGAACGACGGTAGCAGGAGGAACCAGTGCCTGGTGGCATACTTGCTGAACCCTTCGTCCGGCGGGTTCCCGGCTGATCAGCCGGGGGGCAGTGCGGAGGATGGCGATGGCTCGCCGTTGGCGAAAGTTCGGCGGGTCGGCGACGCCGGCAACGGGGGCGTTGCCACGCCCGCGCAGGACACGCCTATCAAGTGCACGCCCATGCAGGCCTTCACTCCTCAGCGGTCCCCAGCACTTCTGCTTGCTACCTCTGTTCGTTCCACGGGTGCCCCTCGCATTCAGCTGCCCCCTGAGCTGGCTCAGACGGACCGCCGTCGGGCAGAAGTACCTTGGTCGCAAGGCCTGCGAGAATCAGTTCAGTTCGAGAACCTGTTGACGAAAGCGGATGCGAAAGCAGTCAAATGGTACAAGGCATTCGCGGCCAAGCGAGCTTCTGATCCAGAGTACTTGCCGTCGAGGAGGGGCGACGATGCCGATTTGTGGCAGGCGCTTTGCAGGTGCTCCACGAACGCTGGATCCTACAGAGTGGATGCACCTACCCTTCGTCTGTTCGCATTGCAGCCTGACGTGCTCGGCGTAGCTAGCGCCAAGTTCTACGGCGAGGTCAGCGACGTCGCCCCCTGGCGTTGGACCTTTCGAACCGCCGCGGAGCATCATGGCATCGACTCTCTGCTTGACGTGGAAGGCCCAGCGCGCCCCTCGCGGCAGGCTGCCCTGGCAGAGCGGCTGGAGGCGGTGAAGTTTCTCTACGCGGCTGACCAGGAGGACCCGCGCCCCGACCCGGCCAGGGCCAAGCGCATCACACAGGTGCTCGCTGCTTGGACGGACTTCAGACGCATTAGCCTCGCCCACGCGGATTCGTTCTCGTTCGCAAACGAGAGAATCTTTGATTTCTTTGCCGGCGTCGCAGACGACCTGTCGAACCTCTACCTGACGTCCGCGTGCGTGCCCAACGCCGTGGTGCAGGCCCTGATCCACTGCAAGCCTTGGAGGCGTCGGGATGTTTCAATCCAAACGAGCGCGTCGTTCCGCACAGTTGCTCCGGCGCTGCGAGTCCCATGACACATCGCATTGCGTTTTGAAAAAGCGGCCCTGGGCTACCGCTGAGCTCCCGATTCAGTGCTCGGTTACCACGGCCAGCGACTCTAGTCGTGGGGTACGATATGATTTGGAAACACGCTCCTCCCCCCTCCCTTGCCCGCATTCATGGGACTTGGTCGCGTCGAGAGCACGGTGCGTCTGCGTCTGCCAGGCTGGAGATTCTTCGCAGCGGCGAGGCCGACCTGACGCCGCTCGGCCAGTGCCTGAGGCGCTACGTTCTCTCGTATGCCCGGGCCTCAGACGAGCTCTGATCTCGATCCTCTCTGGCCCAGTTCCAAGGGTTCTTCCACGCGGGCGATTCGGCGTGCGCCTGGAGATTTTCCATTGAAAGGCTGCGCCAATCGCAATGCCCAGAGGCTTTCCGTCAAAGGGCGAGTCAGGCAACTTGCGTCCTTGCATATCTCAAATGGTGACACTCAGCTCTTGTCGATTTCAGCGAAACGGCCCTCGGTGACCCCCTCGCCTCTGGTCCCATAGGGAAACGGCTCTCGGTGACCTCCCGCCCCTGGGCCCCCCAGGAACGGCCCTCGGTGACCCCCTCGCCCTCTAGCTCTCCGGGGAACGGCCCTCGGTGACTCCCATCGCTGTTTGCCCATTCTTGCAGACGGCCCTCCACGAGCTTCTCGCTCTGTCTGATCGGCCGCCAGGGTCTCTGATCTCGATCCTCTGCCAGTTCCAAGGGTTCTTCCACGCGAGCGCTCCGGCGTGCGCCGGAGGATTTTCCATTGAAAGGCTTCGCTGATCGCCATGCCCAGAGGCTTTCCGTCAAAGGGCGAGTCAGGCAACTTGCGTCCTTGCCCATCTCGAATGGTGCCACTCAACTCCGTTCGAATTCAGCGAAACGGCCCTCGGTGACCCCCTCGCCTCTTGTCCCATGGGGAAACGGCCCTTGGCGATCCCTCGCCCCTGGCCCTCCCAGGAACGGCCCTCGGTGACCCCCTCGCCCTCTAGCTCTCCGGGGAACGGCCCTCGGTGACTCCCATCGCTGTTTGCCCATCCTTGCAGACGGCCCTCCACGAGCTTCTCGCTCTGTCTGATCGGCCGCCAGGGTTTCTGATCTCGATCCTCTGCCAGTTCCAAGGGTTCTTCCACGCGAGCGCTCCGGCGTGCGCCGGAGGATTTTCCATTGAAAGGCTTCGCTGATCGCCATGCCCAGAGGCTTTCCGTCAAAGGGCGAGTCAGGCAACTTGCGTCCTTGCATATCTCAAATGGTGCAACGCAGCTCCGTTCGAATTCAGCGAAACGGCCCTCGGTGACCCCTTCGCCTCTGGTCCCATGGGGAAACGGCTCTCGGTGGCCCCTCGCCCCTGGCCCTCCCAGGAACGGCCCTCGGTGACCCCCATCGCCCTGTAGCTCTCTGGGGAACGGCCCTCGGTGACGCCCATCGCTGTTTGCCCATCCTTGCAGACGGCCCTCCACGAGCTTCTCGCTCTGTCTGATCGGCCGCCAGGGTCGCCTCGGTGGTCCGGGCGGGGGGGGGCGGCTCTAAAGTGGAAGTCCGACGAGATTCAGACATCAGTCGTCTCGCTAAGGTCGCTAAGGCAGACCCGGCCAGCACGTGCTTGGACACCGTGCCCTTGCTGGGGAAACTGGTCAGCTACTTCCTCCACCACAGTAAGTATCCTGGAGGAACACAGCAGGGCGCCTCCGAGTGCGCCACCTTCCTGCTGGGGTGCTTGGACAACGCCCAGGACCTCCGCACGCGAGTGTTCGGCTCGGGAGCCGCCGAGGCCGTCGAGGACCAGATCCTGTGCCAGGTGTCTCCCGACGCGCAGGTAGCTGCGGCGGCGGGCAAAGTCAATGTTGCTGGTATGCTGATGGTATCTTCGGCGCCTTCTCCTGCGTTGATGCTGCGCGTTGAGAATACTTACGAGTTCGGTGGCGTCCGCCACTCCGTCACTGCCAGGGCAGATTGGGGCACCGCCGAATTTGAGGTGACGGTGGCCGGCACTGAAGACACTGCTACGTATCGCGTCGACTCGTTTGCGGCACACGAAGCAGATGGAGACGTCTCCGCCGACCAGATGATGCAATCTGGCCACTACTTCACCTTCTTGCACTTGGACAACGAATGGTTCAAGTTGAACGACGGTAAGGTTTCCAAGCTGAGCGAGCCACCAGAGCATTTCCCGTATCTCGTCTTCTTGACGCGCGTCGACACACCGACGGGCAGGCGCCTGCGCGGCAAGCAGGCGCGGGCTGATCCCCGCACTATGCGGGACCTCTTGACCAGCAGGGTGGCGGAGGCCGCGTCGGTGGCGCTGCGGCAACCGGATCGACGCGCCTAAGGGCAGACCAGCCAGGCCCGCGGGCAAGAGCCGGCTGGGGCGAGCAACCACGGCGGCCCGCAGCACGGCCAAGGCGGCCGGTGCAGAAGCGGTCGACAGCAAGACCGAAGCAGCCGGGACCAGAGCGGCCGGGCCCAGAGCGGCTGGGAGCAGGACCGAATCGGCCGACAGCAGGGCCGAGACGAACGCGCGAGTGGCAAAGAAGCCCTACAGGCTGATAAGGCACGTCTGCTCGCAGACGAGAACGTGAAGAAGAGGCGGGCAAGATCCGGACAGGGGGATAATCGAGACCGCACCCGACTCGATCACTTCGCTGAGTCCCAGGACCCGATCCGCAGGTATGAGCATACTCGTGAGCTTCGACGCAAGGAACCTACGGAGAAGATCAAGATCTGGGACACGCGGGCGCGACACACTCAACCTGTGCCATGTCAACTCTGCCAGGACACAGAGTTCAGCTGCAAGGGCGACTGGCTCGAGCACGTGAACAAGGAGCACGGGGGGGAACAGAGGTACCGCAATGCCCTCTTCGCGCTCGAGTCGCTGTGCCCTCACAAGACCACCGGCCAGGAGATGAGGCTCATCATCAGCAACTTCACGGAATTCTACACTCGCGGAGCCATGGGCTGGGAAGGGTTCTCGGAAGAGATGACGGCGCAGGCCAACTCGGACGACGGATTGCCTCGTGACCAGAGGTGGGACCCCAGGTGTATAAAGGCGTGCGTCTTCTGCGCGCGACGCCAGTGGTCGGAAGACGTCCAGGAAGTGTACCTGGCCGGGCCGGAGTGTTTCATGCAGGCTCCAGAGGCCGTGGCCGTGCTGCTCGACCCAGAGACGTACCGCGAGGCCTGGAACCTCATCCCGAAGGAAGAGCTTCTCGCGTCCGCCGTGAACATGAGGGTCGGAGACTCGCAGGGGCGCAGGCGCGTGCTCCTCCACAAGCGCCGAGTCAGTGATGCGGAAGCCAGCGGGCACGAGAAAGTGAACGTCTGCCAGGAGTGTTTCGACAACTTCAGGAAGAAGACGCCCACGATGTGCAAGTGCGCCCTGGCGAACCACGCGTGGATTGGCCGCTGGCTCCCGCTGTTCCGAGACACGACGCTGGCGCACGAGATGCTGTTCGCCCTGGCGCGGGTGGTTGCCACCAAGGTTGTGTTGCGGCCAGACCAGCGCTCCAAGGCTGAGACTGCCGGCTCTCAGACCGCGCGCTCCTGGGACTTCCTCTGCCACCAGTCTGGCTTCACGGGATGCGCCGTGCTGTTCGGGAACGCCTCGTGCACCGAGGCCTTGACGCGGTTCCCAACCCCTGACCTGGGAAAGTCTTTTGCCGTCAGTTTCACGGGGCCGCCCTCCCAGGGCGACGAGGGCGCCGACGAGGCCCAGCGCAGGGGCCGCGCCCGCGTCAGCCGCATCGCTCAGCTCCAGATCGAGGAGTCTGTGTTCGACGCCCAGGCGGCCTACCTTCGGAAGACCAACGTCGTATACGCCGAGACCACTTACGACGCCGACCTGGTGGCCCAGTGGTGCCCAGCGGGCGTTGAGAAACGGGTGCCGCCTCCGATCTCGGACTCCGCTGTGGAGGTCCCCATGGACACCGACGACCCGGGCGCGGTCCTGTCCAGCGGGCCCGGGGGCGCCACGGCGGCGGGGCACGCCGACAAGGTCGACGAGGACGTCGCGCTCGAGCGCCAGTCCAGAGTGGTGGCCGCCTTCCACCCCGATGGCATTCCTGGAGCCAAGGCTCACGAGAGCTGCATGCAGATCACGGCCCTGCAGCACCAGATGGAAGAGCTCGACGCCGCCGCAGCGCGGTCGGTGGCGGCGGAAGCGGAGTCCATCCTGGAGTCGCAGTTGGACGGCAACGACTCCTGCCTGCAGGACGAGGCCGGCCGAGAGCGCATTCTTGAGCAGCGCGCCAAGGTTCGGAAGCTCGCGCAGAAATCTACGAGCGAGCAGTCGCAACACAAAATGCTCGCAGAGCTGCAATGGCTTCTCAGTGGCGTCGATTGTCAGGCTGCTCCGCCCGCGGCGCCGAGCACGTCGCAGCCTTCCGACGCCGCCGCCGCGTCCGCCTCGACCACTGTGCCTCACCTGCAGGTCGCGCGGGGCAGCAGGCCGTTTTCTCTGTTCAACTGGGAAGCCATGACGCAGGCTCGACCCACTCTCTGGCACTATGGAGACGGAGCCTTTGGCGATCCGCAGCGAGCCTATGCTCCGTACGTCCCGCTCCTTCCCGTGGAATGGATCACGTGCCCGCTCATGCGCGAGGAGCTGGAGTACACTGTGGACGGAGAAGACGAACAATACAAGGTGGACCCAGATCTTCTGTCCAACCGGTTTGCCTGCGATTGGCTCGTCCTTCACCTGCTCTCCTCCATCAACTGGCTCACAGAACGCCACGCGTCGCTGTGCGCCTTCCTGACGAGCGGCGGCATGAAGTTCGCCGAGCAGCTCCTGAAGTTGACGTCGGAAGAAATCGCCGCCGCCGCTCGTTTGCAGCACGCGCGGGGCGGCCGTATTCATGGGCTGCGCAACTTGGCAGCCGACCAGGAGTTCCCTCACAACCTCTCGGTGGCCCTGAATGCCTTGCAGATGGGCCATGCCGACGTCATGGGCACGGACGGACACCGCCGACTGTGCCGGTACGAGGGGTATGCCTACATGACCTTGTTCGGCGAGCCTGTGGTGTTCTGCACTCCCAACCTCGCGGACACGAAGCAGCCGCTGCTCCTCGTCGTCCAGGGGGAAGAGATTCGTCTGGAGGACAATTTTATCTCGGGCAACGAGACCCTGCCGAAGTACCGGGACATGATGAAGAGGCTTGCCGCAGACACAGTGGGTCAGACTCTCGTGTTCGACAAGATGATGAAGCTGTTCTTCATACACGTACTGGGAGTACGACCAGAACTCTTGGGAATTCGGCGTCGCGCGCGGCCCTCTGCCGATCAGTGCACGGGCGGCGTCGCGGCCTCTTCTTTCGGGCTGGGTATCTTCGGCCCCGTGCTTGCTTTCCGCGGGGAGATCGAAGCACAGGGCAGGGGCTCTCTACATCCGCACATCCTGGTGTGGTTACTTGGCATAAAACCAGCGGACGTATTGCGAATGCTGCAGCGAGACCCTGGTTCCCTGCAGACCCGCCTGGCGACCTGGATGAAGCAGTGCGTGTCGTCCATGCAGTCCACTTGCCAGAGCTCAGTGATGAGAGCGCCCCAGAGGTTTGGCCACCTCGACCAGGTCGCGGAACCGCTCCCGTTTTCCAGGACAGAGCGAAGTTTGGCCAGGTACGACGGTGGCAGCGAGATCGACGTCATGCGCGACGATCTTCAACGAGACAGAGTGGAACCAACGGAGGAGCAGAGTCGTCTCTTCGAGGACGCGGCCGAAAAGGCAGCGTGGAGCAGACCTGACTTGCCCCTCAAAACCAAGTCGGTCACGCAGTCGAGCGCGGCAGGGGACGGCAAGCCGAAGCCCGGATCCACGTGCTCGAAGGTTGTCCCCGAGTTTGCCGTATTCAGGTGTCCGGACCATCGCAGGCGCGGTGCGCTTCATCGCCGCGGTGATCTCAGTGCCGGCGAGCAGAGCCCGCACTCGTGGGAGCAGGCTTTCACGGAGGACGCGAGGTCCTTGGCTGAGGAGATCCTGGTGCACGTGTGCGGGGAGAGCTGCTTCAAGTACAGCGGCGTCAAGGTTCAGAAAATATGCAGGCATGGCTACTACTACATCATCAGCCTACCAGGCTGGCAGAGACGACGGCAAGGGGAGCCTCTCCGCAACGCAGTCGTCGTCGTGGGCCAATCTGAACACGGCATGACAGGCAGGCTGCTTTTGTTCCAGGAGCACCCTTCCGAGTGCCTCATCAACTACGCCGGGCTGGATTGCGTGCGATGCAACCTGGACGTGCAGGATCTGCTGGTGTGTTCGAAAATTCGGCGCGTTGTTTTCTGGAGATGTTCTGATTCGCGTTATTGAGTCGTGTTCTGATGACACTCTTTCGAGAAATGGCCCTCGGTGACATCCCCTCCTCCTTGAATGGCATGGACTACCGCCTGGGGGAGGAGGGGGGGGGTTGTAGAGTGGGATTGGGCTCTGCTGGATAACGGGCATCTGTGGTGAAAGGGCCCTCGGTGACCTCCTCCGCTTTGCTTGTCTCTTCCCAGGATCTTCGGCGCCTTCCTCCTTCGCAGCGCTGGCTCCAACCGGACGAGGAACTCCCGCACCTTGGCGACCAGCCAACTTTCGGGTACATGAACAACTACGAGTGGGTAGAGAATGACTACTTGCCGAGACGTTCCCTCGAGAAGGGCAATCTCCCCGCCGAGCCTCACGCATTCACGGAGGAGTTTACTCCCGATGAGTGGAGAGCCATACTCCTGGAGTGCATGCGGTCGGACGATGCAACAGTCGCCCAGAACAATGAGCTCGCGACAGTCATGGAGCGAGAATCCACGGCCGCGATGTGCGACGGCATCAACACGGGCTTCTACATCAATGCGTACACCACCAAGCAGCTGCCGGACATGCAGGGGACCCTCGAGGAGCTGCGCAAGGGGATCGAGCGTCTGGAGCTGAGGCGGGAGGAAATGCAGGAGGCCACCAAGAAGACGCAGAGCCGCGATGCAGAGGGGAGCGCTGTTTCCGAAGCTCCCGGGCGGGGCCCCAACAAGTTTGGGCAAGTCCTGCAGACTCTGAACCTTATGTCGTCTGCCTTCAAGCGGTGCCATCATAGGGGCATGAGCGAGATACTGATGCCAATCATGTTCAACACCATGACGTACTTCTCCCATCGTTGCTGGAAGGTGTTCATCAAGAGGGCCGTCTTTCTCGCTGCGCAGACGTGGCGGAACAAGTTCGGCCAGGCCGTGCGACACAAACGCATCAAGGACGGCGGCGGAGTTGGTCTGAGGTATCTCACCAAGGACAAGCAGTCTTATCCGCTCGTGGGATGGGAGCGCGTGCGTCTGGACGGCGGCGCGGAGCTCTACCGGCACCCAGATGGCACCGAGCTCGGGAACCTCCAGTCTGCCTACGACTACGACGTGGCCGTGAAGAGCCCGAACTCGTCGGGGTCTTACAAGGACGAGCGCAAAGTAGCGCTGACTGCGCTGCAGCGCTTCTTGAACGAGGCAGAGGCGGAGACGACGGAGGAGAAGGGCAGGGAGGGGGCCAGGCGCACGCGCACTACTACGCCCGTCGACGACTGGTTGCATCGCGGGAACCACGCAGTCCTGAAAGACATGCCGTTGTACATCTACGCCATATGGGTCTACTCGGCCGAGAAGCCACCTCCTTGCCAAGGACGCGCCTTGGGAACCGAAGGGGGAGGGGGAAGGGGGATAGGGGGGGGGGCCGCGAGGAGGAACAGGGGGAGAGGCGAAGAGGAGAGTGGGGAGGTCACCGAGGGCCGTTTTCAGGCCGAAGGAAACAGGTGCAGGAGCAGGAGCAGGAGAAGAGCAGGTGCAGGAGCAGAGAGACGAGGTGCAGGAGCAGAGAGGTGCAGGAGCAGAGAGAAAAGGAGGTGGGCTAGGAGGAGAACAACTCTGGCGTCGGAGATAGTCGGGCGCAGGGCCGAGGAAGTCCTAGACTGGCCGAGGGAGAGAGAGGAGTAGGCAATGAGGCTCCCTTGCTTGCCATGTGCTCCAGGCACAGAGAAGAAGTCCAATGCCATTGAGGCCGACTTCGACCCGAAATACACCCACGCCAAGACCCGAGTCCAGCGGTTGACCGCCGTGTTGCGAGCTCCCATGTTCGATGGGTTCCAGATGCCGTCGCACACGCAGGATTCGGAAACAGCCGCCATGTACAAGCAGTTGCTGCTGCGCCCCTCGGCTAAAGCGTACAGCGACACTCTGACTGAGGAGATGGCCGAACTGGAAGCATTTGCACCCATGTGTCCGCCGTTGCCAGACGGCTCCCGGGAGTACTTCACGCCGGCCACGGCGTTCTCGGCGAATTGGATACGTTACCAGCGGGAGATGGAGGGGGACGCAGCAGAGGGCCGGCGGCGGTTCCTGGACAGGTCCGAGTACCCATCCCTGTGGGAGACGGAAGAGGTCATTGCAGCGCAACACGGGGCCTGGCTGGAGCGCGGCCACGTCGGGGAAGCCGATCCGGATCATTGCCGCGCGCTCAGTGGCGCCGATCTATAGCCCCGACCGATGCTCCGCTCGAGATCGTCGGCTGCGTCGGTGGCCCTGTCGATCTCAGGAGACTGTCGAGGTCGTCGTCAGCGTCGTCGCGTGCGTCGTTGGTTTTTAGATGCCGAACGAGTCTCAGGGATTTAACGTTTTCCAGAAAACGGCCGTCGGAAACCCCCACTTCTTCCTGGGATTCGGTCAGAACGCCAGGCCCGCTCGTCGGGCCCATCGCGTGCTCTCGGCGCGCGCTGCCACCTCTCCGCGTTTTGGATGATTCCGCGTTGCTTGCCAGTGTGCTTCCGTGCTTCCCGCCTCTCGTGCCCCTGAGGTCCTGACAAGAGCAAGGAGCGAGCCAAGGTGAAGCAGCGCGCCGCCCTCGCCGGGCTGCAGGTCGCGCAGAACCTGGAGGGCCTCGCGAGGGGGCGCATGGAGCACCGCCCGCGTCAGTACCAGTCCGACGCTGCCGTTCACCAGGCGTGCCTCCGCATGACCGCTGGCGGAGACGGGCCTAGCGACGGCGAGGGGGCGGGCGACGCGGCGGACGACCCTCCCGCTGCGCCGCAGTTGAAGATCGGCACTTTCGAGGAGCTGCCCCTTCTGGGGATGAGGAGTTCCGAGGACTTCAGGAAAACGCTGACCTACGGCCATAGGACCCGGCTCCGAGCCTTCGAGAAAGAGCTGCTGGCCCTTCCGTGCATGGACTGGAAGGACGTCCTCCTCGACCACTCGCGCGCTGTTCGCCTGTTCGACCAAGGCCACGGGGAAGCATGGCGTCTGCAATGCCGCGGTCTGCACGACAGCATGCTGGACGTGTGGAGCGGCACGGACCACGTGGACAAGCAGCTCCATATGCTCAGACTGCAGGATTTTGCATTCCAGGACAAGACCACAGACGAAAGCGACTCTGACGACGAGGAGAAGGCGCCTGGCGCGGGAGGGACCCCGAGCCGGCGTCATTCGACGAGGCGGGCGCGCACGCTACCCCGAGCGCTTACATCATGGACCTCGTGGCTGGATTGCCTGAGAAAAAGCGGCTCACTCGGGACCAGGTAATATTTGCCATGCGCTTTGCTGATCCCTGTGACCAGGTCTGGCACGACGAGAAGAACGGCACCCCCTGCCACCAGCGCAAGGTCCACCACATCCTTCTACTTGGCCAGGGCGGATCCGGCAAGACGCACGTGGTTCAGGAGCTCGTTTTCAAGGCGGTGAACCACATCTGGCCTGAAGAGAGCAAAGCCAGTCCGAGCCTCGTCGTGGCGGCCTTCTCCAACGCTCAGGCCAAGAACATCTCGACGGCGAACGTGGAGGCCATGGCGATGCACGGAGCCAGAGGCATGGGCGTGCAGGAGTATACGAACGCCAAGATGCGGCCCAGCCAGGCGAAGCTCAAGAAGCTGGAGCAGCGCTGGCGCCGAGTGCGCGTGCTCATCATGGAGGAGATCAGCATGATATCTGCATACCTCTACAACATGCTGGACTTCAGGTGCATGTTCGGCAGGCGCCAGGAGTTCGCCGTGGACGAGTCCAACTACAGGAAGGACCGCCACCATTTTGGGCGAGTCCCCATCGTCATTCGCTTGGGCGACTTCCTCCAGCTCACCCCGACGAATGCCATAGGGCTCATCAGGGACGTCCAAGAGAAAGATGAGCACGGCAATTGCAAGTTGGATCCGCCTCCGAGCGTGGAAGTGCAGCACGCTATTAGAGTGTTCGGCAAAGTGCCCCACGTGATCGAGCTGAAGGGCACAAAGCGCTTCAAGCCGGGCGACCCGCTGATCGAGCTCCTCGCCTGCATGCGCCACGCGAGACGGATCCCCGACTATGTCTGGGCAGCCTTCCAGGCTCGGGTCGCCACCGACTGCGCGACCGGAGTGAGGGACCCGAGGCGCGACGAGGAGAAGTTTGCGACCGGATTCGGGATGGCCTGGTACTGGAGTACGCTGTGCCGATGGATATCTCGCCGGACCATGGTCGACTCTCGCGCCATGGGCGTGCCGCTGGTCTTCCTGCAGTCAAAGGACGAGGGCGTCTCCTGCGGCGCACCACAGGAAACAGTGGAGGCTTGCAAAGGCTGCTGAACGTGCCGAACCCTTGCGAGACGGGGCACATGCACGGAGTTCTTCCAGCGCGCGTGGGCATGGAGGTGGGATTCGCCGTCAAGGTGTCCAAGCGCAAGAGCTTGGTCCAGGAGCAGAAGGCCACCATAGTGAGCTTCGTGTTCGAGAGCAGCGACCAGGTCAGGTACGACGGGTGGGCGCCAGGGGAGATCTTCCGCCCGCGCTTTTTGTCTGCCGGAATCTGGATGCAGGTGCACAAGTTTGAGAAGCAGAGCCCGGACGTGGTCGCCGCCCTCACCAACTCTTTCGGGATCGACAAAGAGAAGGCGAACGGCCTGTTCTGCTTCCCGCTCATGGAGGCGAACTTCAAGTGGACAAGCGCCAACAAAACGCACCGGGTCAAAAGGTATGGGTACGCGGTCACGCACGGGCGCTTCCTGACATCCACCGCGTCACAGGGCCAGGCGATCCGCACCGGGGTGACCATCGATTGCGCGCAGGACAAGAGCATCGGCAGACCGGAGGAAAGAGAGGAGACCTGGTGGCTGCACCTGTACGTGATGCTCAGCAGAGCCACTTGCATGGAAGACATGCTCTTGCTTCGGCCACCGCCACGGGAGGTCTTGCAGAAGGGCCCACCTCCGTCCGTGCTCAAAGCCCTCCAGAAGTTTGATGAGCGCATGGCTACGGAGACGCGGGAGATTGAGGCCCTCGCTCTGGAACGCCGATGGATCTTGCCGGCGGCGTGAGGTCGTTGGAGTGCACGGGCGCCGGAGTCTTTCCGACAAAGGCAGCGCTGTCCAACCGCGTCGAATTCGCGCGGCCTGCGCCGCTGCTTGACGTTTTCTGATCGCCCGCCCATCTGTTGTCCACGTGCCAACCGCAGCCCAGAGATTTTTCATCGAAGGTCACTCGCAGATTGCATGCAGGTGGATTATGTCTGGTTTGCAACTCCTTTGCGCGCGCGCCTCAGAGACTCTCTGTCGAAGAGACGCGGGGACACGTGGAGACTGCATGAGACAAAGCTAAGAAAAGTACGCCCGCCCAGGTGAGAAGGGGAGGCAGGGGTGCGGGAGAATGCAACGAAGGGAGGGAGAAAGGATGGCTCTAGAGGCTCCCTAGAGCGATTGCGCAAGGGGTTTGATTGGCACTGGCTTCCACAGTGGGCCCCCTGACGAGGCGCGATGTGGCAGATCGTCTTGCATTACCTCATTGCTTTTTGCCGCCCCAGGAAACGGCCCTCGGTGACCACCTCGAATCTGTCCTCGATGGAGGATAGAAGGCTGGGAAGAGGGAGGAGGGTCAAGCAATTTGGCGTTGGATGACCCATAGGGAACATTCGCGACGAGGGCTCAGAACGCAGGATTGTGCATATATATATATATATATGTATATATATATATATTGTATACAGAAACAAACACATAAGATTTAAATTAAGTATGTGGGGTTCCTCGGTAGCGTAATTTGTATTAGTATTATGTTGGTAGCGATGGTGATGGTGATGGTGATGCTGCTGCTGATGATGGGAGAAGAGGAGTAGGACATGTATACTATTCGACTGGTCATGGTAAAGAGGATGGAGCGGTTACGAACACGAGGAAACATAACACCAAGGGAACTCAGCCTGGTAAGAAAGACCGGAACATGGAGGAAGATGACGAGGATGGGAAGGATAATGCTGCTGATGGGTAGATAACGGATCAAGTGGAGGAGGGGGGAAACATAGAGGATAATGAGGAGGAAAACGATGAGGATGCTGAGGACGACCATGGGGAGTAGCATCAGTAGCATGATAGAAGAGGATTGGGTGGGGCAAAGGAGGAGGGAGGAGGAGGAAAAATATGGATGAGGAAGAGGAGGATGAGGAGGGAAAAGGAGGGATGAGGTTGGACGGTGACGAGGAGGAGGAGGAGGAGGAGGAGGAGGAGAAGGAGGAGCAGGCGGAGGCGGAGGAGGAATATGAGTAGCGAAGAGGAGGGAGGAAGAAGCAGGACAGAGGAGGAGGAGGAGGAGGAGGAGGAGGAGGAGGAGGAGGAGGAGGAAGGATGGGAGAGGACGAGGTACCAAGGCTGAGGCTGCTTGAGCACGGGTGGCATTG